ACTGCGACATCCTTGAAGGGAATTTAATAAGACGTTTGAAAACGTTAAGAAGTTTAAAGGATTTCTAATAAAGGCCGCAAAATTTAATACCGTGTAGTTAAAAAGAGTTTCTCCTTAATTTTAAGTCGACTTCTTAAAAGAATGACAAAAACTTGAAGATAAAAAATTGTATCTACCTACCTACGTTGGGTTAGGCATTAAAAAATTTAATTAAAAGTTTTGGCTTTTCTAAAGACTCCACAATTGTATGGAGGAAAAAATATTGTTTTACAAGTTGGGCATAGACAGTAATTTTGGTCGGCGATAATGTTTGACACCTTGTGCAACCAGGAAAATCAATCAAGTTTTTCTAGAGCACTAATTAAATAAGTAGTTTGTAATTATAACTAACATTTTGTAGGTTTAATAACAAAATTCTATGTCAATAATTCAACCATAATTGTTGTAATTTTCAAAAAGGACCTTATTTTTACAAACCTTTTTGCAAACCCAGTAACAAAAATATTTGTTGGAAATTGGGAACTTAAATAAAAAGAATTTTGATAAGAAATGTTGCTTTATTAATCAATTTTCCAAACAAAAAAATTAACACATACCTACATAAATGAACACAAAAAACATACACACATTTAAATAACACACCATACCAATAAATCACCAAATTATAAAGAAATTTGGTACAATATAATGATCAGTACTACTACAACACTTACTGATATTTCGTAACTTTAACCCACTTCACTGTATCCCCTAATTTCAGTTTACATCCTTTTTGGGATACTTCGCACTTTGCGTACTCCTTAAATTTATATAAGGACTTCGAATAACAATAATAACAGATTTCTGGTAATATGTTATTAACACTCTGGGCAGTTGTTACGAACACGTTACGAATTAAAATTAAGTAAGCAGAAACAAGAGTTGCAGACGCTGAAGTCAGTTGAACTTGTTGATGCGTATTGTCAGTGGGAAATGTTTTGATTGACTGCCTGAAGTCACAAGTACGTTTTTAACGAAAATAATTTGTTAAATATTAACAAAATAATCTGTAACCTTTGATATTAACAAAATGCTTACAAAATTGCATATTACCTTTACAAAACTTTATATATTTTCCCTTGTTAAAATAATTACAAACCCTGGTTTTATACAAAAAATGATTATTAAAATTATTAAATTAATTTACATTTTTATTTATTACAGGGAGGGAAGACGACAGTGACGTGGACTCTGAACCTGGTATTCCTTTAAAAAGAAAGCAGAGAAGATCCAGGACTACTTTTTCTGGAGAGCAATTAGAAGCACTGGAAAGAGCGTTTTCCAGGTCTCATTACCCTGATGTATATACGAGAGAAGAATTAGCACAACAAACAGGACTCACTGAGGCTAGAATACAGGTGAAGCTCTTTTTTATGCACAATTGAGATTAAGACGGCTAGAGTTACGAGAAAATTTTTATTTATAAAAAACATAAAAAATTTTATAAGTAAAGTAGAAATTTTGGGCCGCCACTGGTTATTCCTGACCTATGACAAGTGACGCAAAATATGCTTGCACAGTGGGCAATAATCTACATTCATTAAAAATTTACGTTTTTGTTATCATGCTTTGTTGATAATTGTTTTTTGTTTTGCATATGGGGCATTCCACGCCAAATCGAATGGTTTAAAATTTTGTTTTTCGCTCATAACTTCTTAAAAAATGGTCCAAATCAAAATGTTCATTCTATATAAAATATTCTTTTTTAAATGTTCAAATATATTGAAAATATTTTAAGCGTTTTAAGTCAAGATTTTTGAGTTTTAAAGTTTAAATCGTGTTTTAAAAAATGTGGGTCCTCTTCGATTTTCGCTAAAAAAATTTATTTTCAACTTCTATCTATTCAACAACTATTCAGCCTAGTCCGGTAGTGGGCCTTCCATAACACAGACCACCAAAACAAATGGACGGATTTGTTTACGTTTAAAAAGCGAGTAAAGGATAGTTTCACATTCTAAACACCGTCGAAAGAAACAGGGCTTCCAACGTTGTCAGAAGTATAGATTACACGCCTTTTTGGACGTTCATCATTACATAATGAACATTAATAATTACCAGTAATTCGTTTGAATAATAAAAAAATTGTAAAAAGGATTTGTTCATCATTTTCTTTAGATATTTTTCTCTATTTAAAGAAAGTAAATCATTTAATAATTATTAAAATTAAATATTAACAACGTTGGTAAATTCGTCATATTTGACAGCATAGAAAAAGGTTATGTTCTGTGGGTTGACAGCCTGTTGTTTTGTGTTTTCGTTTGTGTATTTCTATCGTGTTTAAGTTAATTATGGAGTTTAAATACATTATTTTTTACTAAAAATAACAATACATGGAAATATCGTTTGTAAGTACCTACCTACTTATTATTTTTTTAATCCCAATACGTCACTGGAAGAAAACATAAAATTCTATCGCCAATTTAACGCTTAGACTGTGACCGTTTGTTGACCGCAAAACAAAGCATTGTTATTGAATGCGCCGTCCATTTGTTTTGGTGGTCTGTGTTCCATAATTACTATTTTTTTCGATTTTTTTTTAATTAAAAAAAATTTCCTAAAAATTATTATAAGTTTCGAAAAAATTAGTAATTATGGAAGGCCCACTACCGGACCAGGCTGAATAGTTGTTGAATAAATAGAAGTTGAAAATAAAAATTTTTCGCGAAAATCGAAAAAGACACATTTTTAAAAACACGATTTTAACTTTAAAACTCAAAAATCTTGACTTAAAACGCTTCAAATATTTTCAATATATTTTTTTTCACAAAGAACATTTAAAAAAGAAAATTTTATATAGAATGAACATTTTGATTTGGACCATTTTTTAAGAAGTTATGAGCGAAAAACAAAAAAAAAAGCAGTTTTTTTGAAAATTTGATCTTTTGAACCCGTGATCAAAAAATCTCAAAATTTACTGAGAAAACTCTTTCAAGGCGTACTAAAAAATATATAAAAAAATTGGAGGAATCAAAAAAAAAATTTTGAAACCATCTGATTCGGCGTGGAATGCCCCATATATACATATATCACCTATTTTTGGTACTTTGAATAAAACAATACTTACTTTTTATTGTTAGGTATCTCGAGGTTTTCGTGGTTTTCCCGTCGATTTTAAATTTCACCTTTCACTTTTTACGTCGATTGATGCTCATGTAGCTATATTTTTAAGTGTTCCACAAAATCATAATAAATGTTCAACTATCCCGCCGTTATAATCCACACAAAGTTGACAGCGGCGTAGAAAATTATGATGTGTCGTCTTGCCATTATATCCGGATGCTTTCGGATTTTATCTGCCGCTGCAGTGACAAGTTCGCGGAGTTGTTCTAATATGTCAACTTCGCTCTGGTACACTAAACTGTTCATGTAGCCCCGGAGAAACCACAATAACAACCTACTAACCGATTTTGAATAAGTTTCCCAGAAGTACTAAAAACGTCCTGAGTATATCTTGTATCAAACATTAGTAAGTTCCGAGTGCGTCCGAATCAGGTCCTGAACCTTCCCCAGGACGTTCCAGGGACATCCGATGTTACCAAATCGTCGGTCCCCAGAACGTCCTATAGGATGTCTTACTTATAAGTAAGACATCCTCTGGCCATCCTGAAATGCTTTATTGAGGTCTAATGGACAAGCTTTACAGAATTGAAGAGTGGTATTCCCAAAGGCCCAGACAGCAATATGACGTCTTAATTAAGTCTTATTTTATTAATTTGTTAAATGGATTTTATTAAAATCATTTTAATAATTTGCTCGTATTCGCTTATTTTAGGAATTGCGATTACTTCGTCTCACTTTTGTTTAAATTTAAGCGTGCTCTTCACCGGCACCGATAGACGGCCTGTTTCCCTCTTTTAGAGCTCGTCAGTATCGGGTAGCCGTTTACCTAGGTCTAAGACCGTTTGATATGAAGCACGCTCTAAATTCTACTTCGCCGCTTCTTATATCAAACACAAACAGTTACAACGGTGAGAAGAAAGAATCGCATTAAAATGTCATAAATGTGACGTCTCCATTTTGACGTCTTAAAGAGTTAATAATATGATTTCAGTAAGAAGTAATAAAAGAGAATACTGAATATATAATACTAAAGTCTTATTTATGATACCTACCTTTAGTAGCTTCTAATTTTGATTTCAATAAGAGGTCAGAAAAAAGATACTTTAAGATGTTAAAAAATTTACTTCTTATTTATGAATTCATCAAGAACTCTTAATCTTGAGCTCCTAAAAATGATTTCTCTAAGATGTCATATTGTGACCTCAGTAAGATGTTTTTCAACAGACTTCGTACAGAAATCTTTCTGAATTGGATGCTGTCTGGGGGGTCTAAGTTACAAAAATAAAATTGTGAGTTATCAATGAAAAACAAATATTTTGCACATGTAAATGTTGAAATGTCTGAAACACGTTTGCATATTCCGCTCTCCTGAAACCGTCAAACTCGCCTTCGGCTCGTGTGACAAACTCTTCACTCGAGCGGATATGCTGTATTCCAAACTTGTTACAGAATATACTATTAAGTCATTCTGCATGACAAACTATTTTTAAATGATAATATATTATATTAACTTGGCACTTAGACCATTTGGAAATACAATGCTTCAATTACGTCCTTGGGACGTACCCAGTATATCCGATATAATTTTCCCAAATAAGTAAGAAACTGGACGTACCCAAAACTTCCGATATAGGTCTAGGACGTTCGGACCTATGTGGGACCCGAAATGGACGTCCTGGGTACCTCTTGTGCTATCTGGGTTAAAAGTTTTCTTGATATTACATAATACACTGTGCGCATACCTGTTTCTTTTTTGCTTTTAAGAGGTAAAAACAAGGTCAATGCCATATTGACAATCTTAAATGGGCTTAAATATTGCAAACTATATGACGATTTATTTATCGTAATATTGATCGTAACGCCAATTGTGATAATCTTCTAAAATCAAAACATTTTTTCAGGTGTGGTTCTCAAACCGTAGAGCGCGCCTGCGCAAAAACTGCGGCAACCCGAACTCCACCAACCCTCTAACCTTTCCGACGTTGCCGTTCACGAACGTGTCATGCCAATACCCGACCGAGACTACCGCGCAGCAGGAATGGCGCAACGCGCAGTTCCACAACTACAACATGAACATGCTGCAACACGCATCCTATCAGCAGGAGTACGCGCGCGCCGGCGCCGACTACTCCCCGTTCTACGACGTCAATTACGCCTTAGCGCAGCAGTTCAACCAGCAAGCCACCCTCAGGTCGAAAGAGACCGCGGAGAAAGAGCTCGATCTGACAACAGAGCATGCGGGCAACAACAACGCCCCGCCCAACAGCCTCGCCGAGTGGCACTCGATGCAGGACACAGGTGGGGGTGGCGGGCACTACGGCAACGCCGCGGCAGGTTTCGCGCACGCGCAGACGCACTACAACGTTGCCAATAAGCAGCAGAATTATTGGACATAAAGAATATCGTGTTTTTTTTGCTTTTCGCTGAAGAGTTGCCGGTTTTTTCAAATTGATTTGTATATTAGCTGATAGTTATTGACTTATATATATTTATTAGAATAAGTAACGATTATTAAGCTGTAAGTTTGTAAATAAAATGTATTAAGAAGTGATTTAAATTTTTTATTTACAAAAATCTTTTATCCGAAATCGGCAGTAAAGTAGTCAACAATCGGCAGCAAAGTAAAGTATAACTTTACTGCCGATTTAATACGAGTATTGTATGCAACCAATTATACATTTTAAGATGTGTCTCAGCAGCAACTAAATAATATTTAAAAAAAGCACCATCGCGGTCGATTGGACCCTTTCATAAAATGTTGTTTAATAAAAATAATAAGTTAATTTTATTAATTAGATTTAAAAAACCGTCGCAACAAACAATATACGTAGACACTTCCTACATTCAAATGACATTTGATTTGATCATCAATATTAATTATTAGTATTATTAAATGTGATTTCGTATAAAATTTAATATGCACCTCGGCAATAAAGTAATTTTTTATCACTCACGTGGTTATTTGCCTTGATACATAAATAACTATTTTTAAGTTTTTTTTGTAGATTTTAAAAATTTCACATATTAGATGCCTAAAATGACAGATACAAGTGACAATAATGACAGATAAAATTACAGATGATAGATGAAACGAAAACTCGTCTACTCCGCGCATGTGACGTCACGTGCGAACCAGATTCTAATGTTACAAACAGTTTGCATAGGCATACGCTATGCACGGGTGTTTTACTACGATATCTTTTGAGTTTTTTCCGAAATTATTGTGGTTTTTAAAGTATAAGCCAAGCAAGATGGTTTTGCAACGTTTTCGTAAAGTTTTTACTGCATTTATTGAATAGCAATAACCAGGGCCGGCGACAATAGCGGTGCTCGCGGGCTCAAGCACCACACGTAAAGGAAAATGGTGGTGCTCAGCACCACACGTATCTTCAGCAGAAAAATTGCATTTCTTTTGCGGTCTCTAATTTTTTATCCTGCTAGCCTGGGATACACACCAACGCCCTACAAATTTACGGTTGAAGCTGAGAAATCCAAAGTTTAAAGTATCAAAGTCGGTCGGTATGTATAAGTGTATGTATCTTGGTATAGTAGGAATAACATACCGACACGTCGAGACGTGTATTTAGGGTATTTCTACTATACCGACGGTAACCAAACTTTGAGTTATATTATTATTATTATTATTTACAGTTCGTGCTATCACCAATTGTGTTAGTGGATAGATACCCGACTTTTTATCAACAAATGTAAGTTAGTTCGAATCTTGAAGTAACTCTGTTTTAATTATCTCTCGTAAAAAAATCTAGAACGATTATTTTAAACCCGTATTTTTGATGCTGGTAACCCGGCCTTAATCCAAGAAGTGGCAGATGCCAACCCTAAAAACGTCCGATGTGGCAGTAATATACCTATCCCATTTGATTCCATTACAGAATGAGTTTTTTAAATTGAAACTTTAAAATATCTGGCGTAATAAGCACTAAATTTAATCATTCCGAGGGGATATATTAGTGCTAAAATTAATAGTGTGCTTATTACGCGAGATATTTCAAAGTTAAAAAACGTTCCCTGTATATAAAATGTGACTGAGGGCCGGTTCATTAATGTCCAGTTAAAGTTGCAGTTAGTTATCTGGTAGATTATTTACGTGGATACCATTGTTCTCACAATCATCAATATGGAATTTAACTGTCAGATAGACTATCTGGAACTTAACCAGATATTAATAAACCGGCCCTTAGTTTGATAAATAAATTGACTAAAAAACTATTCCAATTTTATTTTGTTCTCCTTCCCGCAACCCAAGGAAAAGAACACCCACACCCCCCATCCATTAACCACTGCTACCAACGAACTGTAGATGAGCACCACACGTCAAGATGAAAAGCTGCCGGCCCTGGCAATAACTATTTACAACTCACTGGTTATTTATTAAGTTTGTGTTATATTTGTTGGACTTAATAACTATTTAAAATGTGCTGGGCTGTGCTGTAGCAGACAGCAGAAATATGAACAGAAACTCTAACACCCAACTTAACGCAACATAAAATATTTTCGATTTTCAAAAAATAAAGATCTGGCAGCACAGTGGATGCATGCAAGAGAAAGGATTAAATGAAAATAAAATACTGTAAGTAAAGGCAATTTTTGGTATACCCAATTTTCTGTTAGGTACTTATAGTAACTTTTCATCCTAACCACATATTTTTTTACAGCTTGCATAAGTTCTTACTAAAAATAAAAATTAAAACACAATTGTATCGGAAACCCGCTTTAAAAGTGTCACAAGTAAAAAAAGATACAAGTTACTAAAATCAATAAACTTTCTTAATTTAAATAAAGGCACTAAAAACTAGAATTTATTATACAAATACAATTAATTGTGTTCTAAATGATATTTAGACATACATACACAAATACAATACAAATTTTGAAACGAATGTCAAACGATGCTGTCAATTTCTTTTCACACGGACCTGTCACTTTTCACACAGAAATGTCACATTACATTCGTGTTTTGCCTTGCCAATGAAAAGATTCATTTTCTAAGCAACGATGCTAATACGAAATTTACCTTTACCTTTACATAGTGGTCGTAGAAAATAGTTATTTGTTTTAGAAGTGTTGAAAAGCGACTTTTTCATGCGAGTGTTTAAGTTGCTCACGAGGCTGTCAGGCCGAGTGTGCTTTAACACGAGCTTGAAGAAAGCTTTTCTCACAAGTATAACACAATGTTTTTTCTGCGACCCTTTTATTTTTTATTATTTTTAAATACAAAACAAAATAACCTAAAAACTTTTTTGACAGCTGAATGTCAAACGATGCTTTCCGGTTCTTTTCACACAGACCTGTCACTTTTCACACAGAAATGTCACTTTACATTCGTGTTTTGCCTTGCCAATGAAAAGATTCATTTTCTAAGCAACGATGCCATCATGAAAAGTGACTTTTACATAGTGGTCGTAGAAAAAATTACTTTCATCTTATTCTTTTAATTTTTAAGGTATAATTATACTTATACCTTATAGTTACTTAAAATCAATAAACTTACCTTCTTAATTTAAATAAAGGCACTAAAAATTAGAATTTATTATAAAAACACGATTAATTGTGTTCTAAATGATATTTAGACATACATATTCTGATTATATAGACAACAAGAAGTTTTGCATGGCGTTGGAATTCTTCTTCACTAATGGTTAAACAAGCCAATTGCCTAACAATCGACAAAAATATACAAATTTTAATGAAATCTTGCAAATTCAAAGAAATTGAGCTGTTGTACGTCTTGTGGTCTGAATGTCAAACGATGCTGTCAATTTCTAGAAACTGTCAGCATCGTTTTAGATTCAGAGATCTTTTCACACAGACCTGTCACTTTTCACACAGAAATGTCACTTTACATTCGAGTTTTGCCTTGCCAATGAAAATATTCATTTTCTAAGCAACAATGCCAATAAATTTGATTTTTACATAGTGGTCGTAGAAAAAATATGTTACATTTGTATTGAAAGCGCTTGCTGTCAATTTAACTTTCTCTTAACATTTGTTACTTACACTTAATAATTGCAGCCAGGCCGTCCCTATATTTATAAATTTTCGAATATAACGTGAATTTGCAGTGCAAATAACATTCCAACCCAGTTACCCGCCAGCTTTTGGATGATTTAAGGAGGTTTAGACAAAAATAATATGGGTTCAGATATAGTACCTACATTGCAAGAAAAGGGATAGGGTCGTAAGAAAAACTGTTTTCCGTTTTTTCCAGGCCAACAAATTAAAATTATTTTAATTAAAAAAAAATCCTTACTGAAAGAAATAAATAAAACTAAACATTGAATTAAATTAACTTGATTTATGAAAATAAACGTAAACTTTAAATATACTGTCGGTTGGGTCTTTTTTGCAAAATATCCAATTACAAAATAATGAATAATTTATAAGTTAAATAAAATAAAACGAAATTTATACACACCACTGAATATGTTTTTTGCGAATATTCTTACTAAATTAAAATAAAAAAATTAGGTAGGGAATTATTATAATCATAATATTATGATTCATATTCTCGATATAAGTGTACGGATAGTATCCGTAAAAATTTGAAAATTTTTAAAAAGATTGACTTTTCATTTTTTTGTATTACCATTGATTAAAGAACTCTTCACTCAACGGTATTACCCTTTGAATAAAATGAAAAATACAAAAGCCATTTTTTCTAAAAATTTACCAATTTTTCAGTTGATTTCCGAAAAAAAACGGTTTCTTTCTGTCGGCTCAATTTTTCCGGAAATTTTAAAACCCTAGAAAGGGGTAAGGGGAGTTGCTTTTATACTTAATGCATAAATAGCGATAGGTACCAACTTTCAAAAACAAAATTTGCTTTGACATTTTATTACATTAGATCATAGGGAATGATTAGATTTTAAAAACAGACAATTATGTAGCTGATTTTATAATTATTTTTTAGTTTAATAAAAAAGGCACTATTTACATATATTGTAACACAAAAATATTAAAAAAATAAAAATAGGACGAACATTTCGAGTTGTTTGTAGTTGGTTTCTATGGTAACGCTTTTCGCTTTTGACAGTGGCAGTGACAGTTCTATATGCAGTGTTATTTAAAATAAAAAATGAGTTGAGAAAACGAATAAAGTCCACTATAAAGAAAAAATATTTAAAAAAGGTATGAGAACAGAAAATAAAGTAACAGAAAACATGCAGTGAAAGTCTAAAGAGAAGAGCAGAAAACAAAGAAAATAAAACCATAGAGGGTAAAAAAATAACTTAATACCACTGTGTTTTTTTTCAATAATTTGCTTTAAAAACGAAATTATGGTATTCACCGAATAAATCAAACCAAATATCCCTGGATAATAATCACCTGTTCTTAATCCATTGTTGCTGGATCTTCTAGACGAGAATGACAGATTGATAACCAAAATGCTGCCTCGCGCTGTATATTGTATTGTTTGACCTATTCAAATGTCAAAGAGGTTAAAATAAAAGGCTAACAAATATATTGTCATATTTTATTGACATTAATTATACATTATATACGTTACATACAATATAATATAACACTAATAAATATTTCGGCTAAAGCCGTTTTTGACTTTTATTGTCTAAAATTTCAACAGTTATTGTCAAACATTGTTTTGAATAGTATTTATTGTCAGACACAGCAAAAATTGTTGAAAAGTTCCAGCCAAGTCAAGTTATTTTTTTTTTCAAAATTTTCCGATACATTTTAAAAATATACACCTAGTATTATATTAATAATATCAATTGGCCTATAATTATGTTCAAGTTAAACTCTAGAAGGGTTAAATTACGATATTTTAGTTGATATGATTGACCGGGTGACAGTACATCGAAAATTAGGGGATATGTCGAATGTTGATATGAGAAAAATCTATATTGTACTCAGGGGCGTATCAAGAAGGGGGTATTATTGTAGCCAGGGGTGCATCGGGTGAAGGTTCCGAGTTTTGTAGCTCTGTACTGTCTGTTGAAGGAAGCGTTTTTCGCCATTTAGTGGAAACGGACCTTTGGTGAAACTGTACTCTTGGGTTTTCCCATCTGAGGCAGTCTCCCTAAGAAATAAACATTTTAAGAAACATTTCTTTTGGGTGTTTTTTTATAAGGCAAAACCAGACATCAACGAGCATTTGGTAGTGTTATTATTTTGTTTTGTGCAGAATACAGGGTGTCACCTGATAAATTGTACACGCCAAAACAAAAAAGTTGTTCCTCTATCATTTTTGCAGTAGAGCTACTGTTTTTTAATAAAAAAATTATAAAATTTTTTTGACAAAACCACTGACGTATTCTATATATCATCATTGTTTTTACCTCTAAAATAATGATATTATTTATTGAAGCAAAAAAAAACAGGTATAAGCACAGTTTATTATGTAATATCAAGCAAACTTTTAAAGTAATTCAAAATCGGTTAGTAGGTACTTTGTTATCATTGATTACTGACAGTACGGTTGTTATTGTGGTTTCTCTGGGGCTTCATGAACAGTTTAGTGTACCAGAGCAAAGTTGACATATTAGAACAACTCCGCGAACTTGTCACTGCAGCGGCAGATGAAATCCGAAATCATCCGGATATGATAGCAAGAGCGACACATCATAATTTTCTATGCCGCTGTCAACTTTGTGTGAATAATAACGGCGGGATATTTAAAATTTAAAATCGACGGGAAAACCACGGAAACCTCGAGATACCTAACAATACAAATAAAAAAGTAAGTATTGTTTTATTCAAAGTACCTAAAAATAGATGAGTAGGCAAAACAAAAAACAATTATCAACAAAGTAATCAATGGTAACACAAATGTAAATTTTTGATGAATGTAGATTATTGCCCACTGTGCAAGCATATTTTGCGTCAGTTCTCATAGGTCAGGAACAATCAGTGGCGGCCCAAAATTTTTACTTTACTTATAAAAATTTTAATGACTTTTTTATTAAAAAAATGGCAATAACGTAAAAACTTTATTATTTTGGAGTGTACTATCATCCCTTTAAAGGATGACAACTTATTTGGTGACAACCTGTATAAAAATATTTAAATATGTTGAATATTGTAGGTGTACTCCTAAACACCAAATCATTCCACGTCTAGGACCTTCTATTCTAACATCAAGGTGGAGGTTCTCAATATAAACTAAATTTTATGTTCTTTTGTCTCAAAAATTGTTTCACACTTACGTTGTTAACGTAATAAATATGTTATTTTTTAAGACATCCAAACACAAAATCCTCACCTTTTAAAACGAACGAAAAAACAAACTATCTGTCAAACTACATACTAACAAATACATAGGTACCAATACCAATTTCTAGGCTTAAATAGACTGACAATGCGCACGAAATCGCGCTGGCTGTCCTTGACTTTTGTTCTATTTTTACCCCCCTTATGGGCACCTATGGACACCAAATTTTTTTTGAACCTGCACTCGTCGCCGGTCGACCGTCCGGCCCTGTTAAAAGCGCGCTCGAATCGTCTAGTCGGTAGCCACCCCAAGCGAGCCAAAGATCCTATGTGTCGTTTTTCCTCGCTAAAACGTTCTCTACTAGGCCGAAACCAACCGCTTCTGGCCACCGAACCTAACCAAAAAATGTGCCTAGTTACATATTCAGTTAAAAAAAAATTTGTTTGACCCACTGTGCGAGATTTTTGTCCCCTACATTTTTTGCTTTTTCCCACTGTGCGACATAATTTATTTTTGTTTTGTTGCACTGTGCGGCATTTTGTCCCCTTCCTTCTCAATGTGCATATTAACCAACATATTCAAAATTTTACCACACAGTGCGATTATCCTTATACAATCACCTAATAAATTGTTATCCTTTTGGGGGGATGGTACACGCCAAAACAAGAAAATTTTTCCTCTATCATTTTTGCCTCTAAAGACAATGATATTATTCATCCAAGCAAAAAAGAAACACACATTGTATTATTTAATATCTTATTTAAAATCGGCTTTAATATCATTGATTACTGACAGTTCGGTTGTTATTGTAATTTTTCTGGGGCTACATAAACAGTTTAGTGTACCAGAGCGAAGTTGACACATTGGAACAACTCCGCGGCAGATGAAATCCGAAATCACCTGGATATGATAGCAAGAGCGACACATCATAATTTTTTACGCCGCTGTGTATAATAACGGTAGGATTTGTTATGATTTTGTGGAACACTTTAAAAAAAAGCTACATAAGCAGTAAGCACAATAGACGTAAAAAGTGAAAGGTGAAATTTAAAATTGACGGGAAAACCAAGGAAACCTAGAGATACCTAACAATAGAAATTAAGTATTGTTTTATTCAAAGTACCTACTTAAAAATAGCTGAGTATTCCAAACAAAAGTAATCAATGATGACACAAATGTAAATTTTTGAATGAATGTAGATTATTGCCCACTGTGTAAGCATATTGGGCGTCAGTTGTCATAGGTCAGGAACAACCAGTGGCGGGCCAAAAAATTTTTATTTAGAAAAATGGCACTAATACAGAAAAGTCAAAAAGGCAAAACTTTCTTATTTTGGCGTATACTATCATCCCCTTAAAGGATGACAACTTATTTGGTAACACCCTGTATATAAATTTATTAAGGGCCAGTATATTTACCTCCCTTTAAATTTACTAGATCGATAACTGTCATAGTTACCATTGTTGACACAATTGTAACTATGACAATTAAGCATTAGGTAAATTTAGTGGAAGGTGAATATACTGGCCCTAAAGATTCTAATATTTTTATATTTTAAATTTACCAAGAACAAAGGTAAAATAAAATTAATAAACTTTATCCAGGACCACAATTATTAAAGCTTTTAATCCCATGCCGTTTAACTTTAAGTTATCATCTTTCCCCCCTCTCCAGGACTAGGCAGCGTTGCCAAAATAGTCAAAAACTCATTTAATACACCCAAAATTACTTATAAAATCCAAAAATTTAACTCACCCAAAAATCTTTTTTCCGGCTCTGCATATGCTCCACTCAACTCCCTTAACAACTCCTCGTAATCATAGCCGTTTTGATTTTGGAAAACCGGAGATGAATACTCCAAACTGTCGTCAAAATCAATTTGTCTTTTGTTTCTTGTAGCCGATCTCTTGAATTTCGGGTTATAGCTGGCCTTTATGGAGGCTATGTTTCTCTTTTCCATGTCGGAGGCTTCGGATTGGTCGTCGGATGGGTGTTCGTTTACGTAGGAGTCCTGTCGAAGCAAAGCGGCAACGTTGCGCTTCCCTAGTGCGCCATCTCTTGCCAGGGACGCGATGCTACGTTTGTAGTAGAAGGAGGGGAGGTCTCCTGTTGTTAAAAAAAACTATACCGTGGGGAATACATTCGTCTACCTCTTACTTGTTGAATATTATAGGAAATAACATAATTTTTAATAATAATTTTCGAAATGGTATAACCAGCACAAAATGTATTACAAAGAAATCGAAGTTAAAAAAATTAGTAGAAAATTAAATCTTTTTTATTAAGTGTTGTAAATAAAAAAACCTAAATCATCCGAGTGAATAATGGGCATAATTTCGAGTGTAATACGCTAAAGAAGTATTGGGTTTTCGCAACGCGTGCGCCATCTGGTGGAGTTCGATAGCATTGTGTGAATTTAAGAATTGTCAACAATACATTTAAAGCATACGAACTGCACATAATTTTTAAATAAATAGGTAGATTTTTCACAAAAGAGAGGAAGACAAATTTTGTTTAATAGCACAGCTAAATCGCGCACGTTATTTGTGTCTTACGTTGCAAGGAAAAAAAACTAAAAAACTGTTTTAGTACTCGATTTCGATTAATTATTCCTTACATCACTGATTAAGAAACTCAACGCTTATAATATACGCATATTATGCTTATATAGTTACGTTAGTTTGTGTATTTTATCTAAGGGATCATGGTGAATTATTGTGTTTTTAATTGTAAATAAAATTCAAGAACTAAATCGTTGCATTTTCATGTTTTGCCAAAGGATCCAATTCGGTAAGTACATTTGTTGGTGCAGAATATACTAATAATAACTAAACCTAATATAATTTATATTTAAGTTTGGACATTTTTTAAGAAATTAGTAAAATATAGTTGTTGCACAAACATATCCATAAAATTGAACATTTTTATATTCGAGTCCTCTAAAAAACGCCGACAACTGCATTTTAAACAATTTTTTTTTTTAATTTTGTTTGAATGTGTATTACACTTTGTTATTATTAACAAAATTTGCAAAAAAGATTTATATATTTATATTGATTTTGACTACAAATTTCTTTGCGTGCAGTGAATATTGAAATCGGCCAATCACTGACCTACAACCTGAATAATGAGTTCATCATTCCCGTTGTTAGGCAGGGAATTTATAATGTTTATCATTATTCACCAAAAAAAAACAATATTAGAAGTAGATAAAATTTATTAAAATTAAGTAAAAAAATATAAAACACATAAAAATATAAAAGGCACTAAAATAAATACATTAGATAGATTTTACAATAACCCTGGCAGAACCATTTCTTTCAATTAAAAACTGCGAGCTATCGGTAAGATACATTTTATTTAATACTATCAAAACTTTTTGACAATCACCATTATCAACCCCGCAAAATTTGCTAACAAAACATTTTCTTGAAGTTGGACTGACTTTCAGAACAATAATATTAATAAAAACATCTTTAACAAAATACTGAATGTTCTCTTTATTCTTAAGGAACTCAAAAGTCATAAAAACATTGGAGGTGGTTGCAATCTCCAGTGTGACATTTTTGTGGTTGTTTTGGAAATGATCCGACAGCCAAAACGTGTTTTTGCAGTCCACGTCACAATTTACGACTGGGCATTTAATGTAAGGTCTTGTGGGGCAGGTATTTTCATGCTGTCTCAATTCGAGGTTATTGAAATGACCACCGCACTCCCACCGGCAGTAAAATGATAATTTCTTGTAGATAGCCCCAGGTTTATCGAATAGTTTAAATGAAAACCCGCTCGAGCACACTTTTTGATGCTTAAAGCAGTTTGCGCACGCCAAATGCTTGTTGTGTTTTTCGTCACAAGCGTAAAAATACACCCCTGATATCACCGATTGAAAAGGTTCCTCACAAATTTCACAGAGGGCTTGCAGTTTATAGGCTGGGTTAAGAATGTTGGTTAACACAGTTTTGCAGTCTGATAGCTGCCAATCTTGGTGCAATCTTCTCAAACTCACCGGTAGAAATATTATTGGGACTTTTGTATGGTCGTTATCCAATGATGATGATAATGATGACTCTGGAGTGGCTTCGGAAAAACTGCTGTCCTCCTCTATTTTATCATCCTGAAGAGGATCTTCGTGTTCAGTGAGTGATTGTTGGCGAATCCCCATGAAACTGAATCTCCTCGTGGACTCCATTTTGAAGACCAACTCGCACTTAACCTCGTTTTCACTTGTTAATTTTTTGGTGTGGATATTTGCTGTGTTAAATTTAGTTTCACAGTTGTAGTATTTGGAGATGGTGTTATCCACTTTGTAGACACATTGTATTCCTCTTGATAACTTTTGAGGGCCTATCAGTACATTTTCCAACTTGATCATATGGTGCACTGTGTCGACTTGTATATTCCATATAAACATTTGGTTTTCGTTGACGTACAAATAATAATTGTCGGTATCTTTGGTTGGAAGCACTATAACCTCAGGATTTTTCAACACAGATCCTCTATGCTTATTTTTATAATGCACAAGCATATTGAAACATGAAAACTGCTGGATTTTGCATATAGGGCAATCATATAACTCACTGGTGCAGTTATTTTCGTGTTCTTCCATCTCGTTTGGGTTCAAAACAGCCGTACATCCTTCATATCGGTTGACGCATTTAAAGAGGAAATTATTGTTTATCGAGTTGTATAGAGATAGTAAACCATGGTCGTTGTTTTTGGCACATCTTCCACATAAAATTTTTTTGTCTGGGTACACCTTCACAGGCGGTATAGAGAGGTATTTCGAACATTTTGAGCAAGTTAATGTGTCCAACACTTCATCTGATAATATTGTGAACATCTTGGCGATTTTTATTCGACTAAACTGAAGTAGGTTATTTGCTGGATACTTATAAAAACATTTCTTGTAAAAACTGTGTGTTTTATATTTTGTACTATACAGCGTGTCTTCATTAACATTAACATTAGAATCATTCTATAATTTTTCACCAAATTTGACAAAAATTGAAAGCTTACCTTATTGGATTTTCTTAAAACTTTCAGGGTGTGAAGACCAATGCTTAGAATAAAAAAAATACACAATAATATTTTTTAATTTAAACACCCTGAGAAAGTAGGCAGGGCCATGTTGACCGGTTTGCATAAAAAATTACCAAATCGGTGTCTAAGAAAACCCTTTATAACTTAGATGTTTATTAATATTTTGTATCGCGTAATATCTTGTTTTAACCATAAAACAATGTACTTTTAAAATTATACAAATGTTTTTACAAATGCAGTTTGTTTAGTGCTAAATTTACGCTTCTTTTAACTAAAAATGTCAATTTTCTACCATTGATATTATGTAGTAGACTATGAAAATTTTATTTGGTGTATATTTTTATTTAAAGTAATTATAAATATTGATTAAAATATAAAATGCGAAATTTAAAAAAGTATCCAGATTGCAGAAAATACCATCTTAATTATGAAAATTTTCCATTTTTGGCGAAAAAATGCATTTTTTCGTCCGGAGGGACTGAACGAAAATTCTTCAAAATGTAAAAGAATGTTCTCCTCAATATAAACTAAAAACTGTAAAAAAATGTGTGTATTTGCCTTGCTAGGAAGATACAACGGTTTATAATACCATAAATTGTATAAAATATGAAATTATTTTCATGGTATTCTTTTCAAGATTGATTTGATAAAAAAATGCTATTTAAAGGTGTTTAAAACAGTAATATAAAATAGTAAAAATTAAGCTACATAAACATTAAATATTTATTATAATTATAATTAACAAAATAACGCATATGGGGCAAAATTTACCAAGTGTACCAGGTGAAAAAAATTTTGTCACCGATTTTGTTTAAACTTTACTTATTTGTTGTTCTTATAACGAAGAATCATAGCATAAGTTTTTTTTGCTCTAGGATTGTTCATTCAAGAGTTATGTATTATTGAAATTTATCGATTTTTTACTTTTTGGTGAAATCGCTTTTTATTTAAAAATTCATAACTTCTGTTCATCTCTTTATTAAATATTTCAATTTAACCACCTTAAATGATTTTTTCCGTACTTTTCAATGGGCTATACCGTTTTTGCAAAAAAAATAAAAATTGCAATTTTTTTTTAAATTTTGCAAAATTTTGCATTTTTTGAAACAATGTGTATTTTTTAATTTTTTTTAAAATAGCATAAAATCCAAGTTTATTATGTTACCTTTGAATAAAAAAAATTTAGAGTGGGCCCGACATGTAGAAGGGAAGTTTTTCATATTTGAATGCCGCACGGTCTAGCCATCGAATAGCTACTACACTGCCGTATGTGTTTATACCTAGTAGATGCGAGTAAACGAATACAAAATGATAATTTAAAATGTAAAATTATGTTTGAGTAGTCAATGATGTATTTTAAATATTTACACTGCCGCACGATATAGTTTTTTAACTGTATTTTTTTGCACAAATTGTTTAAGCATGGGTCTACATAGATTTCGCAAGGAGGATCGATGATATTAAATAAAAAATTTATTGTTATAACCGTAACGGCTTGCCTATAAGCTGAATGGCGCCTTTACGGTTATAACAATACATTTTTTATTTATATATCATTAGATATCATCGACCCTCCTTGCGAAATCTATGTAGACCCATGCTTAAACAATTTGTGCAAAAAAATACAGTTTATATACAAAAGTGCTCTTTTAGTTCCACCCTTACTTCTTAAGAAGTCCCATAAGCCAACTGAATGGCTTGTGCGGCTTAGGGGTAGGAACGGACCGCGGGCTTAAAGTCCCCTCCGAAGGACTAATACACAATAAAAAAAAACTATATCGTGCGGCAGTGTAAATATTTAAAATACATCATTGACTACTCAAACATAATTTTACATTTTAAATTATCATTTTGTATTCGTTTACTCGCATCTACTAGGTATAAACGCATACGGCAGTGTAGTAGCTATTCGATGGCTAGACCGTGCGGCATTCAAATATGAAAAACTTCCCTTCTACATGTCGGGCCCACTCTAATTTTTTTTTTTATTTAAAGGTAACATAATAAACTTGGATTTTATGCTATTTTAAAAAAAATTAAAAAATACATATTGTTTCAAAAAATGCAAAATTTTGCAAAATTTCAAAAAAAAATTGCAATTTTTATTTTTTTGCAAAAACGGTATAGCCCATTAAAAAGTACGGAAAAAATCATTTAAGGTGGTTAAATTGAAATATTTAATAAAGAGATGAACAGAAGTTATGAATTTTTAAATAAAAAGCGATTTCACCAAAAAGTAAAAAATTGATAAATTTCAATAATCCATAACTCTTGAATGAACAATCCTAGAGCAAAAAAAATTTATGCTATGATTCTTCGTTATAAGAATAACAAATAAGTAAAGTTTAAACAAAATCGGTGACAAAATTTTTTTCACCTGGTACACTTGGCAAATTTTGCCCCATATATAATATTTAATATAAAAAAAATATTTGTATAATAATTGTAATCTTAAGGTAAAGAATGATTACACATATTGAGGGCTATGATAGATCGCTCATGTTATTTTTATTACTGTTAAATGATTTCAACCAATCAGATTCACTTATTTAACACAAGTACAATTTTGGTACTATGCCTAAGTGATACTTTTAACTATGTTAAAGGTAACGTTTAAATTGTTTTTCTACATGGAATCTTAAATTTATCTATTAATCTATTAAGGTAGTTGTTAATTTAAATTTAATAAGGTAACCCTAATAAAATTTAAAATATTTAATTTAAAGCTGCAAATTTTGTTCTTTTTAATATTTTGTATTTCTAAAACGGTTTGATTCCGATGTACTTCGAACCTGAATAATTTGTAAATTTTTCGTTCAGTCCCTCTGGACGAAAAAATGCATTTTTTTCGCCAAAAATGGGAAATTTTTACAATAAAAATTGTATTTCCTGCAATTTGGGTACTTTTTAATAATTTTGCATTTTATATTTTAATCGATATTTATAAGTACTAATAAAAATATACACCAAATGAAATTTCCATATGGCTATAGCCTACTACATAATATCAATATTAGAAAATTCACTTTTCAGTTAAAAGAAGAGTGAATTTAGCACTAAAAAAACTGCACTTTTAAAAATATTTCTTTTAGGTATATACATATATAAAAAGTACATTGTTTTATGGTTAAAACAAAATATTAATTGATAAAAAATATTAATAAACATAAAAGTTACAAAAGGATTTCTTAGAAGCCGATTTGGTAATATTTTATGCAAACCAGTCAACATGGCCTCGCCTAATTTCTCAGGGTGTTTAAATAAAAAATATATTATTGTGATTTTAGTTCATCCCAAGCATTGATCTTCAAATCCTAAAACTTTTAGTAAAATCCGAGATGTCGAGCTTTTGTCATTAGGTGAAATTTCATGGAATGACTCATTAATTAGGTAATAATTGAAGGGGTTTATGTATTATTACACAAACCACCCTTGAACAAATCACAAGGTAACTGTACCGAAACAAAAACTGTGTCGCGTTTGTACCAACCGTTGCATGTAATGGAACGTTTTTTAATTCCTTTGAAACATTAAACTCCCAAATTACAAATTAAAGATCTGAAATTGTCAAACAACAAACGTTTACGGAAATACCCACTTTTAATTAATGTTTAACATTTAAAAAAATATTCTTTAGAGCCTCTTTCGTAACTCGTTTTGAGTAATTAAAAGCTTTGGCATAAATTCCTTTTAATTAATGTAGGTAATGATACCCTTTGGCATTTTATCAAAAGATCGATTAACTATAGATTTAAACAAATTTTAGAAATATTCCACCAAAACACCAAAACAAAACAAAAGGTGATTAAAGTACTTTTCACAAACGATGTTGGCATCTTCAGAAGCGAAGTGTAAGTAATTCTAACTGCTAAATCTACCATATTTACTCTCTAAAAATGAATTAGTCAAAAATGACTAATTTAATAGTTAATAGTGGCTGCTTTTTACCATGGTCTCCTAAAATTAAATAGTCAATTCTTATGTAAAATTGTCCTCAGAATCCGAAAATACCGTCAAAAGTTAAAAAAGTAGAACTGTTTTTGAGATATAGTCAATTTTCTATTTAATATGGAATTAACTTTATCTCAAAAACTGCTTCACTTTCATAATTTTTTCGGATTCAGGGGATAATTTTACATAAGAATTGGCTGTTAAATTTTGGGATACCATGGTATTCCATGGTTAATCATGGTACAAGTAAAAAAGCAGCCACCAATAACTATTAAATTAGTCATTCATTTTTAGAGAGTATACTAATTATAAGCTAAGGTTGACTGAACCGTGAACGGGCACAGTTTACTAAACCGTGGACCGTAACCGCTTCAGTAAAGAAAATCTAATAAACTAATTTATACAAACTAGAGTTGGGTACCGGTCCGTTATCGCTATTTAAAGATTTATTTCTATTATTATGGATGTATAAACTTTTGTAACTATCTAGCAGACTTGGTTCCCTAACTTCCTTAATAAGTTTAAGGTTGTCAAATCCTGTTCTATGACCATCATCAAGTATATGTTGGGCAACACTCGATTTCTCTGTCCTATCAAGTGCTCTTTGGATGGATCGTTTATTTTGCCCAACATGTTTCTTGTTACAATCTTGACAGTTTATTGCTTGAACTTAAAGTCCAGTTTTCAAAAATCCCTTCCAGACCTCGGGTGTACTGGGGTTCGAAAGGAATAGTCATGAACTTGACTTTTGTGGGCTTTGTTAGCTCTGTTTAAAAACTGGTTAACCTAGAAAGCTTTAAGCACTTTTTTGTTTTGTTTTGGTGTTATTTCTAATATATATAAGTTACTATAGAGTCTACATTTCAGGAAATATGTGTACTATGTCTTACCTGATCTAGCCAGACTGCTTAGGGACCTTTTATTGTAGCTAGGAAAGTTCGCAAACCTAGCCAGGCTTGCTATGTTTCTTTTGTACATCTCCTCGACCGCTTGGTTTTTGTAATTCGCTGGTTTTGTATGAATTTCCCCGTTTCTCGCTAACGACTGTATCCCCCTTTTGTCCTCGTGCGAGGGCAACTGGCCGTTCTTGGCCAAATCCGCGATGCTCCTTTTGTAGCTCTCGTTCTCCTCCTCCTCCTCCTCGGGCAAGGTTTTTATGTAGCCGGCCCTAGCGAGCGCCTCCAGGTTGCGCTTTTCCGGCAGGTTGTTCCATCTGGCCAGAGCGCTCAGCGATCTTTTCAGGTTGGGGTCCAGGTTCGGGTCCTGCTCTATTTCTACTGTTTGCAGGGCATGTTGCAGCTTGCGGATCAGTTGTCGACGCAGAGCTTGCAGCTGCAAGGTCGGGTATTCTTCGGGGTCCAAGAGTGCGCGTAGCGTGTCCTGGATCTCGATGTCGCAGATCTCCGAATTTACCTGGAAATATGAAACGGGTTTTTTTTTGTTAAAACCCCCCCATAATTTATTCTAGGTTGTAATATGTTTACTTATCTAGATTTTAGATACCCGGACTGCTTTAATAACTTTTTAATTTCAATCAAGAACAGTGACATAAATCCACTTTCAAACATATTGGATTGTATTCTTAGGAAAAATTCGCATTTTATTTTATTTTATTTCGTGCTTTATTTCATGTCTAACTGCAACTGACTGAAGGAATAAAGGGATATAGCAAGCCTTTTTACGTTTGGTGTATGCGGAAAATCTTTCGATTTGTTCGACAATATTGGATGAAATGAAATATGGAGATAATAGTTTTTTCATTTTGTAGATGTTTGAAACTTGAGTTATCATTTGATTTGCAAGTTTATTAAAATTACATGATATAAAATGTTTTTTCTAATTTAAAGTTTTATACTTTATTTAAAAAAATAGTATTTTATGTATCAAGTTTGATAAAAGCCATTTTAGTCACAAAATAAAAAAGCGAGTGCTTAATTACATAAGTGCCTGGAAAACTTTATAAACAACAAATACATAATATTATCTAAAAAATGATTTAAATTAAATATATGCTTAAAGCGACATCTACACGAAAATAAAGTAACAATCCCAATAAATATTTTTGACGTTATTTTTACCATTAACATTGCCCGTTATTATTTTAATTAAACTTAACAATTACACATTACAAATTAAAATAAAAAAATGTACATTCGATGCCATTATTTTTTTTTTCTAATTTATTTTGACCTGTTAAACTTGAAAATCACAAAAAAAAATTATGGCAGCTTTACAATTTGGGTCATATCTCGGGTTAAAAATGGCCAATCTGGTTGCAAAAAGTATCAAATTAAACATATTCGAGTCTCCATAGGTTAATCATCTGGGTTATTTTGGCACTCAAAACCTTGTTTTCGTTTACTTATTGTATCAAATTTTATAAGTAAGAAAGTAGCACACAACCTAAAATTTAATGTTTTAAACCAAAAAACTTTAGTAATTTATATACAAACTATTTTCTTAAAATGTATAAATATATAAAATTCATTTAATTGCATTAAACTACAATATACCTACGCTACAAAACAAAAAGTTGAATTTGACATTTATCCATACATTTTAGTTTTAATTCCTTTTTTATATCATATGGTGTATGGTTTAAAAATGGGCATATTTTATTGATTTTTGCTTCTTCTTGATAAAATAGTAAATACTATATTCAAGTTTTGTCCAAAAATTTTTAATTAATTTTTTTTTCGATATTTGGGCCGATTGCACTTAAACCTATTGACTAATTGGGCTTTATGGAGTTACACTTGTTGACATGTCAACTTCCAAGCAGCATTTTAGAGCTTTGAGGCAATATTACTTGATTTAAGTAAATATTTTGTTAAAATAACCTTAAACATTTACTTTAAAGTAAAACTTTTTTTAAAGTTATTTAATAAGTTTTATTTATAATATTTTTACCTATTTTAATAAACCTTAAGTTTCAACAATTTAAAGTATTATGAGGGATGTAATTTTTACGAAAGAAAATTACTTGTAAGTGTATTTCACCTAAAAAGAAAATTTAACGGTAATTTTAACGTCAGAATTTTTACTTCTTTTAATTTTAATTTGTTAATGGTAACGTTACTCATAAGTCATAATTTTACGATATTAAGACCACTTTATAACCGTAAATAATTCCTATTCACCTGGTACTTTTAGGGTTATTAGTGGTAATAAATACTATTAATATTCACTAAACAAGAAAAAATAAGCTTAAAGTGAAAAATAAAACTTTAAGGGAATTTTTTTTACAGGTAGCCCTAATGAGTTTTTTAAGATGGCATCCATTACTTATCTAAACATTTATATAATATTTTTTTATAAATATAATAAACATAATAAGGAAAGTTTTAGTTATTAAAAAATGATTAAAACTAAATGATTTAAAAAGATTTTAAAAAAATTTGTAGGTTTTAAGTTTTGTTGAATTTTTATCCAAGCAATAATTTTTCTTAAAACAGTAAAATATTTAGAGGGCATATAATTTTTATCAATAAAATAATGTGCGTTTGGGTTTTATTGCAAAATATTATTAGTTTTGACAATTTAAGTTATATTCTTTAATTTTAGTCTAGAGTGGCCTTTATTACTTTGTAAGTACCATTTTGTAAAATATAAATTAAAAGAACAAAGAAATTACGAATGTCAATGTTTTAGAAAGAGAGAGCAAACAGTTGGTAATTATAGCGTTATTTTTACGTAAATTTGTGGTATTTTTATTGTTTTCATTACGTTATTCTCTTAGTAGATCAAAAAGGTTATTATGTAGGTAAAAAACGAAATAAACCATTCCCCAAATTTGGTAATTTTTCGTACAGTTGGTAATTATAGCGTTATTTTTACGTAAATTTGTGGTATTTTTATTGTTTTCATTACGTTATTCTCTTAGTAGATCAAAAAGGTTATTATGTAGGTAAAAAACGAAATAAACCATTCCCCAAATTTGGTAATTTTTCGTATACCGTTATAAAACCGTTTTGGTTAACCGTAAAAAATACTTTAATGTTGACTTAGTAGTAAATTTTTAGTTATTTAAACTTAAAATGCTGCTTGGATTAGGTTTAATTTGACATATTTTGCAATACAATTGGCCATTTCAAACCCGAGATTTGACCCTTGGGTCATTCCACGTTACTCGGGGATTTAGGTCCCGCCCGGCACAATTAAAAATTGTGAGTAAAAACTATACATTATAAAATTTATTTTAAAATAGTGTTTTATTATACTTTTTATAAGTTATAAGCACAATAAAAATAATATTATAAAATATAAATTTTATAACTTTTATAACTATTGTAAAATTATTGTAATTTTCGGGTTTGGCAGGCCAAAATACATCAGAAAAGAATAGTGGCATCGAATGTACATTTTGGCTGTAAACCGGTGTTATTGATACTTTAAAATATTATTATTAAAATAACTTCAAAATATGATTATGTTAAGAAAATATTTTAACCTTTGATTTTTTTTGTTACTATAATTGCAAAATATTATCACAAAGTATTAAAAATTCTTACACGGGAAATTTTAACTTCCGCCCGTGACTAAAAACCTGTTGATAACTTCAGCCAGTGACTAAAGCGTCATAAAGCCACAACTTGTCAATGTGTATTTAAAAGGCCACTTAGTGTCATGGAAACATGTACGATAATGGGCGTTTTAAAGGTGGAAGTAGAAAAATAATTAAAAAACTAATTATTCGACTACAAAGAAGGTGATAATTAAGATAATAATTCTGGAAGCACAAGGAAAATTCAATTACTGAGAACAATCATCCTCATCATATTTTCCAACTTTTTTCCATTAACTTGTGGGATTTGATGGGATATATTTTCACGAAAAAAAATATATAAAAAGAATGAATGTAATTAATTGTGTTGTGGGACTTGACAAAGAATGAAGAATGAAAAACGAAAGAATCCAATTATTGGGGTAAGCTATTTGGCTTAGAAGTCAATCACATATCTACTTAGACCCCTGGTCATTACATTGATGAATTTTTTGTTTTAAAAAATAAACGGTTAAGTTTGTGTTTTCTTTACAGGAATATGAAACATAGCATTGTGCACGTGGCTTAAACTTGTTGATCCCCAAAAACCATCCTATAAATAAAAAAACACATAAATCTTACCTTGACAAGGATCACGTCCAAAATAATAAAACACCAGATCCCGAACGTCAATTTTTTCATATCTGAATCGTAAGGAAGAAAATAAAACCGAAACTAAATGAAAGGATACGATGAGGATGCAATTCGACGCGATCTTTGGCTGAGAAAACCGAGGTTGTGCAACACGTAAAACCGATTTGAACGTCGCGACGCCCGACCGTCGAATTTATAGGATAACGACGCCTATGTAGGCGCAGAATCCCTCATCAGCCCCGCCATGAGGCACCGTGATTCGAAGAAAAAATGTTTAACGTTGAATTTTACAAACTAAAAACTTAAAAATGTATAATTTCTTTATAGGCTATTCTAAACATAATTTGCTCTTACTCATTATAGTGCCAATCTTAGTTCTATAGTTATGGTAGACAACTAACATAACATTCTCATTGTTGAACCACTGTACCACATTTAAAGCACGCTCTGTAGGCTTATTAAAAGAGTAAAAGGACTCATCGTTATTTATACCTCATAAGGGAGATGTTTAAAGAAATTTATTGGGAACTTTGAGATCTTATGAGTCAAAAATAAGCTGCACAAGCTCTCATTACCTATTACATGCATCTAACACGTGGCACTTTTTAAAACGGCAATTTTTATCAATTTTATCAAGTTACAAGATATCCGGGAAATTTTAATAATAAAAATGTATATTTTTGTATATATAATTTTAAGCATTATGTATCAAGTTGCATATTATATTTTTCTTTAAAAAAATTTGGCGTCAAGAAAATGTTTAATAATTTTTTAATTTTGTATTTGTATTGAGATCAAATAATTTCCACATTCAGTATTATTTCAAAACAATGGCTGAAAAAGGTAATATTTAAATTACCTTAAAAAATAATTGTGTCCTGGAAAGATTTAAGGTAAGTTTAGATTTCTAGAGAATATTTAGGTATACTTTTAATGATATATTAAGCTGAAATTAAACAACTCAATCATTATAAAATAATATTTTAAAAAATATATTTAACATTGAAAGAGTGAACTCAATCATTATAAAATAATATTTTAAAAATATATTTAACATTGAAAGAGTGAAATCAATCATTATAAAATAATATTTTAAAAATATATTTAACATTGAAAAAGTGAACTCAATCATTATAAAATAATATTTTAAAAATATATTTAACATTTAAAGAGTGAACTCAATCATTATAAAATAATATTTTAAAAATATATTTAACATTTAAAGAGTGAAATAGTGAAAATATGGTGTTTAGCAACAATAACGTCAACGTTGAAGATTGTAAGTATTAATATTTCTCAAACCCAAATAGCACAACTGGTTAAATTAACGTTAAATTTACGTTGTGCCTGGTTAATCATTTAAGTAATACCCTTTTTTAACCACTTTTTAACTCTGTTCTGTGATAAACCTATAGATGCTTGCCAAATTAATTAAATGTGAGACTGTTTTAAGATTTGTATATAGATAAATAATGATTTACAACTTTGTTAACTTTTCCATAGTAAGTTGAAGAAAGTCACTATCTATAGGTTTATATACAGTCCACTGTATACACATGTGTCTACTTAAGTTGGCAACACATGGGAAACTTTTTTATTATTAATTTTAAGAAAAAAGTTATTCTTCATAAAAAGTTTTTCATGTTCCAAAATCTACAATACAATTATCAGATAAAAAAATATGACTGAAAAAATTTAATATCTGATGATTTGATTATAGATATTAGAACATTTTATAAGGAATAACTTTTTTGATTATAGATATTAGAACATTTTATAAGGAATAATTTTTTTCGTAAAATTAATAATACTAAAGTTCCATACTTCCAACTTAAGTAGACACACTGTATAGAGATTAAGATGCAGGTAACAATAAAAACTGCAAAACCATCACCTTTTTAACCAGTTTATTAATTAACGTTAATTTACCAGCGATTTAAAATATATGTATTTGGTAAAATATAACAAATAAAACAATTTTTATAGGCAATGCAGATCTTATACAAGGAGCTTTAGATCTTATGTTCCTGTCATGTGGAAAACAAAAAAACGATACCAGAGGTAACATATAATATGAAACAACCTTTCAGTATAATTTATAATAATAATAAAATTTATTGTAGATATATCAACAAATGCCAAAATAATGGGACAACCCGCTGTAGGCAATTATGTTACAATTGCACTAGAAAATGGACAATATTTAGCAGTGAGAATTATGGATATATCAGGTATAGCAATACACTTATTTTTGTACAGACCCCATACAAAATCAAGTTGTGTGAGATCTGGAGATTTTGGAGGCCATTATAGGATTAACATTTTAATACAATATACTCAATCATTTCAGAAAACTTAGACTACCTGAATAGCAAAATAGACTGCTATAGAATAATCCCGGACAGTTTTCTATTCAATGAAGACTCCACCTCAAGGGACTCGTTCTCATCCGAGCAATCTGACTGCGATGTGTGTACTAACGAGGCGCAATGCAAAAAACCTCTATCATCATCTGGTGAGAGCGAGGGCGAGAAAAAACCTAGAGAAACGTTCGTTTTGTCTGATGTTGAGGAGGATAGTCTGGGTTCGAGTTCCTTGGAAGAAAAAGAAAACACCATTAAGGCTAAGAAGGTGGGGGTTTCCAGGAAGATGCAGTTTCCTGAAGAGGTCATAAAAGGAAAAGATACTGTAAGTTTGTTTTAATATCTTTAATAAAATCTTTACAAAGGAGGCATCACCTCGTTATTTGCATCAGCGCATTTGGTAAAATTATCTTTGGAGGTTTGAATAGTCGCCGCAAAGGCGCTCTTTGCTTTTCGAACGCAGTCCACGTCAGCATTGATTTTTTTCTCACCTTCTACTGCGCCTACAAGATCTTCTGTTTGTTTCAAATTGCTGGCTAAACATTTTTTAAGACCAGCTCTATTTTTCAAATTGTTTGATATGCAGTGGTAAAGATGATATCTAATACTAGTTCTATCATGGTTTGCTTCCTTTACAATCATAAAGTGGTAATCGTATTTTACATTATCTAACCTGCATTTTCTGATATCGTTCAAACTAATCGGCAAAATGTCTGAATTTTTTTTCCTCAGGCACTGTTCCATGTTCTTGTTTATCACTCCAAATCCAATTTTCACGTCTACAAAAGTATCATATTCAAATAATAACCTATTAATGTAGTTGACTGCATCGTCGACATCTTTGTTAAGCTTATTTTCCACAGATTCTAATATTTCTCTATGCTCTGTCAATGCCATCGACAATTTCATGTGTTCTCTTTCTATTTTCGGATAATATTCTTTTATTAATGTCGCACATTCTGGACATGCTCCCTAAAATGAAAAACCTCCATGAAATTCTCCATGAAATGTGGATCGTTTAAACTTTACTTTACATCCGAGGACATCCGACGAGAAGGATATAACTAGTACTAGAACCACCACAAACATTTTTTAACTAATTCTATTAGTATTGAGTATATATAACTATTTTATTTAAATGAAGCATACAATTTTAAATAAAAACTCAAGCCCCATTGGGTTTCTATTTCAAATAAATTGTTCTTTGATAACTTGCGACGCAAATAAATTTTCATTGAAATAAAAAATGTACGGGGCCTCAAGTTTTTTCTTTTCTTTTTAGGTTGTGGTGGGCCCTAATGGTAGTAGGATACTAAGAAAAAATTACGAATCAATCGATTTTAAAAATTACAATAAAGCCACGAGAAAATTGCTGTCGTACTTTTTCCCTAGAGACATCTTAGCCTCGTCGTCTTTGAGCGGTAGACCGAGTCCTGCATTTTTGGATGTTAAAAAACCCTTAAAACAAAAGTGAGCTATTTCACAAATATTTTTCGAAAAGAGCTTTAATCATTCTTCTTTTTGTTTCAAGGTTGAATCCAGTCATTGTGGCAGATATTATTGACTGTGTCAGAAAGAAATCCAACGTTCCAGAGAAAATGGTTCGTCAAGTGATAACGACGAAATGCGCGGATGAATGCAAGCTGAAGAACAATAAAAAACAAAAAAGAAGGTAGTTGGATCATACAAAATAGAACAATGTACTCTGGGTCGTACTGTAATTTTTTGCATATATAGCGAGTGAGTATTGACTATATATAACTATTTTATTTAAATGAAGCATACAATTTTAAATAAAAACTCAAGCCCCATTGGGTTTTTATTTCAAATAAATTGTTCTTTGATAACTTGCGACGCAAATAAATTTTCAATGAAATAAAAAATGTACGGGGCCTCAAGTTTTTTCTTTTTTTATGTTGTGGTGGGCCCTAATGGTAGTAGGATATTAAGAAAAAATTACGAATCAAGAAAATTGCTCTCGTACTTTTTCCCTAGAGACATCTTAGCCTCGTCGTCTTTGAGCGGTAGACCGAGTCCTGCATTTTTGGATGCCAAAAAACCCTTAAAACAAAAGTGAGCTATTTTACAAATATTTTTCGAAAATAGCTTTAATCATTCTTCTTTTTATTTCCAGGTTGAATCCAGTCATTGTGGCAGATATAATTGACTGTGTCATAAAGAAATCCAACGTCCCAGAGAAAATGATTCGTCAAGTGATATCGACGAAATGCGTGCATTCATGAAGAACAATAAAAAACAAAAAGGTAGTGTTGGAACATACAAATTAGAACAATGTACTCTGGGTCGTACTGTAATTTTTTGCATATATAGCGAGTGAGTATTGACTATATATAACTATTTTATTTAAATGAAGCATACAATTTTAAATGAAAACTCAAGCCCCATTGGGTTTCTATTTCAAATAAATTGTTCTTTGATAACTTGCGACGCAAATAAATTTTCAATGAAATAAAAAATGTACGGGGTCTCAAGTTTTTTCTTTTTTTTATGCTGTGGTGGGCTCTAATGGTAGTAGGATATTAAGAAAAAATTACGAATCAATCGATTTTAAAAATTACAATAAAGCCACGAGAAAATTGCTGTCGTACTTTTTCCCTCGTCGTCTTTGAGCGGTAGACCGAGTCCTGCATTTTTGGATGCCAAAAAACCCTTAAAACAAAAGTGAGCTATTTTACAAATATTTTTCGAAAATAGCTTTAATCATTCTTCTTTTTATTTCCAGGTTGAATCCAGTCATTGTGGCAGATATAATTGACTGGGTCATAAAGAAATCCAACGTTCCAGAAAAATGATTCGTCAAGTGATATCGACGAAATGCGTGGATTTGCATTCATGAAGAACAATAAAAAACAAAAAGGTAGTGTTGGATCATACAAAATAGAACAATGTACTGTAAAAACCCCTTTATAAATTTATTAGAATACATGTTTATAAATATATTTTATTTTTCTAATTTTGAAATAGGATTAAGTCATAAAATTTTATTTTGAGGCAAGCAAAATTACAAATTTAGGTAGAAAATTTGTCAAGCAAACAAAAGCGGGATGCGCTGAGCTTAAGGAAGAGTACATGTGGCCAGGGCCGGCAGCTTTTCATTTTGACGTGTGGTGCTTATCTACAGTTGGTTGGTAGCAGTGGTTAATGGATAGGGGGTGTTCTTTTTCTTGGGGGTTGCGGGAAGGAACAAAATAAAATTGGAATAGTTCTTTAATCAATTTATTTATCAAACTAAGTCACATTTTATATGCAGGGATATACTAATTTTAGCACTAATATATCTCCCCGGAATTATTAAATTTAGTTTATATAGTTTTTTCGACATATTTTTTATTTTAAAGTTTCAAGTTAAAAAACTCACCCTGTAATGGAATCGAATGGGATAGGTATATTACTGCCACATCGGACGTTTTTAGGGTTAGCTGTCACTTCTTGGATTAAGGGATACCAGCATCAAAAATACGGGTTTAAAATAATTGTTCTAGATTTTTTTACGAGAGAATTAAAACAGAGTTACTCTAAGTTTCGAACTAACTTACCTTTGTTGATAAAAAGTCGGGTATCCATCCACTAATACAATTGGTGGTAGCAAACAAGAAACCCAGAGATAATAAACAAACCGCACGAACTGTAAATAATAATAATAAAAACTATTTTCGCGGAGCTAATCCCGAACTAATTCCGGACATCCTAGGCATGCGCTTTTTAAAATTTGGCGTTCAAAATGTAAAGTGCGCATGACAAATATTAAAATGCGCATGCCCAGGATGTCGGAACTAATTCGGTATTAGCACCGCGAAAACACCTAATATAACTCAAAGTTTGGTAGGTTACCGTCGGTATAGTAGAAATACCCTAAATACATGTCGCGACGTGTCGGTATGTCATTCCTACTATACCAAGATACATACACTTATACATACTATACCGACCGACTTTGATACTTTAAACTGGATTCCTCAGCTTCAACCGTAAATTTGTAGAGGGCGTTGGTGTGTATCCCAGGCTAGCAGGATAAAAAATGTATAGACCGCAAAAGAAATGCAATTTTTCTGCTGATGATACGTGTGGTGCTGAGCACCACTATTTTCCTTTACGTGTGGTGCTTGAGCCCGCGAGCACCGCTATTCTCGCCGGCTCTGCATGTGGCCAACACATTAGCCGGGGAATTTCCACCAGAGGTAAACGAAGAAGGTTTTTGAAAAGGAGAAATGAGGCAGAAGCATTTTGAACTTGGTCCGGTACAGATCGTTTTCTTTGATAAAATTATAAAATCAAGGTATTGTTCTAAAATCATTGTTAAAAGTGTTGTTAGTGTATCCTACAATTGTAACCTTAAGGTTAGTTCTAAATATTTAATCTATCTAAATGTGTAGTAAAATTAACTAAACGTAATATTGTGCATTTTTAAATTGTTAATATTATTATTACCTATATGATTATTGCTATTATGAGTATATTTATCCTTTACTATTACGTTTAGCTGTATTTTACGTTATTTTTAACCCTTTTCTTTTAGCTATTACCACCCCTATTTTCGCTTTTACTATTTTCACTATAATTTTAATAATTTGCTATGCTCAATGCTTGTACTGCTCAAATGTAACCTTGTATTTTGTTTGTGCTTAACCCAACATTTTGTACCTTTTCTATAACGTGGTTAAGCATTGTTTTATGGTCAGTCCAAATTTATTGATGTATTGCGAAATTACTCGGTGCTTAACCTTAAATAGGCGGGTTGCCTCCCTTTTGTGGTACCCGTTACATTCTGGGCCTAGCCCGGCTAACTAACTAAATATTCTTCAATTTTTAAATCTTTGTTTAAATGCAGCATCGAGACATATCGCCAATACATTAATTTGCTTAATTTCTAAAGTACAATGCCTGACCGCGTATTCCTTTGCTACTTCATAGCCGACCAGGGTTTTTTCTCAGGCTCTTTTTCCCTGGCCGAACCCTCCTAAGAGCCACCCCTTGCTTGTTTGTAAACGTTAACGTAAATTAAATTGGGGTAAACTAAGCCAATGTATTTTATTTCTTATAAACCTCCCACGTATCATTCTTAAAGCAATGCATTTAATAAAACAAGTAAGTAAACACAGCATAGAGGTCCAAATTTGGGTAAGACGATCACGAGCCAAAGCCACAAAATATTTAATTTATCAATTTTTCATAAAACTTGTTTTAACGAACCTGGGGGTAAAGAGAAATCTCTACAATAAGAACAATAAAACTAAAGAACAATAAAAAACAAAAAAGAAGGTAGTGTTGGATCATACAAAATAGAACAATGTACTCTGGGTCGTACTGTAATTTTTTGCATATATAGCGAGTTAATAAAGGTCTAAAAATTAATTTTTGAAGTTTTTGTACAGAGGTATATCAGTTTTATAAACTATAGAACTATGGTGGATGCTTTTGTTTCGTTGGACCTCATATCCTCAATGAAGGGGTTTAGTAACATTTTTAGTGATAGAGGGCAAACAAATATTTGTCAAAACTGCTACCACTAGTGGAGTTGGCGTCTGCTGTTTGGGTACAAACACAACACCAGCCCCCTCTAAATTTTGGGAAACCAGCTGCATACATGGAGTGATTATGAAGGTATTTGGTCTTTGGTGCCTTTTCATAATGCTTCAAGGATGTTTAATTGGACACTCCATAACACTTGTTCTTCAAAAAAGGCCCAAAAGCATCACTCCTAATATTTGCTTCGTACAGTCTGGGTGGATATGCCTACCAGTTTCTTCAAAATGGACAAACGTCGCAGTTGAGAAGAAGTTCAGGTTCTCGTTTTAAGGACTTTTTGTCGTTGTACGAGTATATAGGGCTTTCTGACCACCTAACCAACTTGTAAAAGAGTAATTGCTCTAGCCATTTCAACTTGGTTAAGATGTCTTTTCTGGCTCACATCTCTTCCAACAAAATTTTTATTCATTTTTAAATACAATTTCTCAATCGAGAACCATTAGAAAAGTTAAACTATACTGACGAAGTCTTGGTAATTAAAACATAGATAAACGTGTTAATGTCTGATATTAAGAAACGTAGTCAGGATTCGAGTTTCTTTAACCTCTTACCACATGATTAAATTAAATTAAGGTAAAAAATGTTAGGGTTTCCAAGAAAATTTCTGAAGAGATCATCATGCAAAGAAAAAGGTAGTGTAAGTATGTTATTATAATTTTTAATAAAAATACATTTTATTATCATTGCATTATTGACAACTAAGGCATTACAATGGCAACACATTGGTTAAAATTATCTTGGGAGGATTGAATAGTGGTCACAAAGGAGCTCTTTGCTTTGTCAATGCAAGTTAAGTCAACATTGATTTTTCCCCTATCTTCTACAGTTCTTACAAGCTTCTCTATTCGGTTCAAGTTGTTAGTTAAACAAATTTGAAGACCATCTATATTTCCCATGTTGTTTGATAGGCAAGTGTGAAGATGACTTTTAATATTGACTCTCCTATGGTTTGCTTCCTTTAAAATGTTGTAGTGATAATTGTATTTTCCATTGTCCATCCTGCAATTTCTGATGGCATTCAAATTTATCGGTGCGAGGTCCGAATTTTTTTTTCTTAGGCACTTTTCCATTTCCTTGTTTACCTTTCCAAATCCAATCTTCTGGTCTACGAAATTATCGTATTCTAATAATACATAATTAATGTAGTTGACTGTATCGTCGATATCTTTGTTAATATTATTTTCAGCTTGTTGTAATCCTAGCCTTTGGTCTATCAATGCCAACGACAATTTCTTTTGTTCTTTTTCAATTTTTTCGTAATATTCGTTTATTAACATCTCACATTCTGGACAAGTACCCTAAAATTTAAAAACCTGTATTGAATTCTGCATGAAATCAGTATTGTTTAAACCTTTTGGCTTAGAGCATCCGAAGTAATAGATAAAACTAGTAGAACCACTACCAACATTTTTAAATTAATTTTTCTAAATTCAAAGTTTTGACTATATATATATATATATATATATATATATAGTCATATACCACTTTAATTTTAATGGGACATAAAATTTAATTTCGTCGTGGTTTCAGCCCATTAAAATAAAATATCAATAAAAAGTATACAGGGACAAAAGTATATTTATAGTTCTGTTAAAAATGGTTCAGTTAAAAACTAGACCCTAACAGTTTTTGACCAATATCTATTATATCTATTCTGGGTATAACCGTATGAAAAGTTAAATTGTGTGAGGTCTGGAAATTATGGGGCCCAACATAGAATCAACAATTGAGTTTGATTTATTTTGACATTTTTTTCTTAAAAAAACTCGAAATACCTGTATACTCTAAA